TTTTCTCATAATTTTATCGTGTCGAATAAAGTTATTTTACACGCATGCTTAGGATTATTAAATTCTAAATTCGTTCTCTAAGATGGCTCTAAATTTTAACTCTATCCGCATTTTGTCGGAGTATGAAATTTATGCATACGGTATCTTAGAAATAGTTTAGTTACCTGCTGTTGAGTTAGGAATGTATAAACATGGCACAAGCGTTCGTGAGAATTACGGAGAGATTGAAGCGCATTCTGACGCGTGTTAGCGTAGCAGAGTAGCAACGTGTTTTGCATACCGGTATGCGTTGGCCCTTTATGGTGCCTATTCGCATAAAATGTGATGGATAGTATCTACAAGGAATGGGTGGTATCTTCAAGGAAGATGCATTCCACAGAAAGTGCTGAAGGACATTCGTGAAATTCGAGTCTCTCAAGAAGGGCGAGAATGTTTTCTATTTGGATGGGAATAGGCACGATTTAACCGAGCGTTGGATTTCGTTTTCACGTGAGAGGATATATTTCAGTATTAAGTCTCCGAAGACCCACTCTACGTCTAGCTCTCCATCTTCGTAATGGCGTTTTTTATGTTAGCATCGGCTAGCTAGACGAACAGGTTCTCCTAGAGGAGAATACGAGCGGTGTCGTTCGTAAACGATTGATGTACTGAAAAGTGAACTTACCCGTGCAATCTATTCGCGTTTATTATATGGTGATAAATGTCGCAATAATAAAAATAACGTCATTTCGATTTTTCTCAAGCGTTAATTTTACTCTTATTTTTAATACTAGAAATTTATTCAAATTAAAAATGAAAAACTTTCACTGACACTTATAAAATTTTTAACTGTTACAAATAATTTTTCAGATTTTTTTATTTAATTAAAAAAATTTTTGATTTTGTAAAAAGATATTCATGTTTGTGTCATTTTTCATATTAATGATAAAATGTCAATTATGTCTGCGTTTTTTCGATTTTTCTTAAGTATTAATTTTAGTCTTATTTTTATTCTATAATACGAGAAATTTATTCAAATGAAAAATAAGAAACTTTCAATTTGGTGTATATTTATTTATTTAGACAAAAATGACATTTATAAAATTTTTAAACTATTACAAATAATTTTCCAAATTTGTTTACTTGATCTAAAAATGTCGTCGATTTTCTAAAAGGATATCGGTATTCGTACGTGAAGTTTTTCATATCAATGGCAAAATGTCAATTGTGTCATTACGATCGACAGCATGTGAACAAGGAAGTAACTATCTTCGGAGCAAGCTTTGCGAATGATAACATTGACTTAGGAAACTCGAGACTTTGTTTAACTGATTGTAAGATGAGAAATTCGAAATTGAGGGAACGAACATTTCGGGACAATTCGGTATTGCATTATTCTATGTCACCCTTTTGATGCGCGACAAGCACGAAACATCGATCCAAATTCCATTCCCATTTCTCATTTTCCATACTATTTCATGCGTAAAATGTATACACATAATATAAGTTATAAATGTATACACATAATATAAGTTATACTGATTTATGATCAGATAGAAAATCGATTATATACGAGCAAAATGGTAAATAGACCGTCAATAAGAAATTTGTGAAGCAACGTAATACTAATATAATATATTAATAGTCATAATTCATGAAATATATAGAAATATTGATTTCGCTATTCATATTTTTATATAATTTTAATATGATTTATTATAATTAAAATAATGAAATTATTCCTTAATTTTTAATACAGAGGAATTATTTGCTTTTCTATCGAAGTGACAGTAAACTAAAAATAATGATTTTCGTTGCATTATTTAACGATGTTATACTATAGTAAAACTTGAGCCAATATTTTGCCACGAATATATTTTAGTTAAATTTTAGATAGATAAATATAATTTGCGAAAGACATCTTTTATCTCGTTATCCGATAAATGAATTTATTATAGAATTCTATTAATTCAACTGTACTTGCTTTAATAAGAGGCTTCTCTCAAGGTGAGCACTCGAAAAGCATAATATTAGCATTTCCAGATTTATGTTCTTTGAATCGTAAAGAGGATGGTTGCAGCAGGGAATAGTGACTTACACGTGAGAATGCTTTTACGTTTCAAGCATCTCGTCTTCTCGCCTTGCTTTATTTTCTTTGCTTTTACATCTTGAAAAAAGAGATTTACGTAGGTAGACATAAATAGCGTTATTAATATTATAGTATATTGTGTACTACACCTCGTATGTGATACGCGATGGTTTTTTTTAGGCACTTTTGAACGTATATACATAATACTAAACTTCGTTCATATGTACTTAGCCCGTATTCAGCACCATCGATAAGTTATCCAGATTTATCGCGCATTATCATAATTTACTCTGTCTTGTGTCTGTCAAGTAACTTCGATAATCCTTACGTTTCGGAAGATCGTCGAATTATAATTGTCAATAATCCGCTTGTCAGACAATCACGTTCACAGCAAATAAAATTTTTCCTCAAATTTTAAAGAGTCCTTTTTGAAAGATCGATTTTCGATTCTTATTTCGAGATTGGTTGACTTCGATATTTTGGAAGTAGAGAGTAAGTAAAGTAATTTTATCGGGAATCCTAAACGTAGCGTTTATCACAGATATCGGATGTAACTCTCGGACGATTGCGAGATTGATTGTTGACGTAGTTGACCATCTATGATACATTACGTATCGATGGAATATAAGGCGAGGTATTCGCCGCGTTGCTGAGAGATTTGAATATTTTTCTCGGGAAAATTTATTGCAGCAATCCGCTTTTATCATAACTGACAGATCGGAAGGCGTCCTCGACGAGATCCGTCAGGCATCTGACCGCCTGTAGCAAAGCCGCGAGAAGCAGCGAGAGCGAGAGCGAAATCAGTTTACTGGGCACCAGAGCGTTTTCCGAGACACCTTGATTTTTCCCCGAGGTTTTCTTTCTCTTCCGTTTATCGCAACTGCTATTCTTTCCGGCGCTATTATCCTTATCCTGTATCTTAGCCGCGGTCGATGTCGCGCGCTTCTCTCGCGATCGCGATATCGTGTTGTCGGATACTTCCTTGGTTAATTTCGGCGTCGTTCTTTTCTGCCTGTCCAGAATGGATCGTCGCTGTGAAGCAAAACTCTCGAGTTTCTTTCGAAAATCCTCCGCTGTCGCTTCAACGGCCTGCAGAAGTTTCTCTTCGTGAGAGCCTCTTCTGTCACATCGTTTCTCTCGATCTGTTTGCAACGCGCCTTCCGATCGTGCTTTCGCATTAATCGCCAAGCGAGGAGTCCCTGTGGTCTCGAGAAAAATATCTTGCAGCGAGAATTTTTTATTCTCCTGCTTGTCGCCGAGTTCCGCATTCTGGAAAATGGAATTCTCGTCTAACGAATTTGTCCTGCTATGCCACTTGTCGCGGAAGAGGGATTTCTTCTCGGCGCACGCGCTATTCAAATTATAATCGATCGTAATCGTAGATTCTTCTGGTCCCGATGAGCATAGTCTAATGTTTTCCTTAACCTCGTCCAGAACGATTCTTCTGGGTAAAGTTTTGCCGAGACTATTGGGTACGAAGTTCATCGTCTTTTCCGGACTTATTTGGAAATTCTTTGCTTCTTCTCGTGAAACGTTTGATCCGTTATTCCAGTCGACGTGATGATCGTTGATCGATCTCGAGGAGTCGTCAACGTTGGCTGTATCCGAAGATTCTTCATTCGAGTCGTTTAGCAAAGGTGCGCTCGCATTTCCGTCTTCATCGTCGTTATCTTTGATTGTTATATTTTGTCCTACCCATACTTCTTCCTCTTCGACTTCCTCTTCTTCTTCTTCCTCCTCCTCTTCTTCTTCTTCGTCCGAATCGAGAGACATGGATTTTTTCTTCGTGATAGCTGGAACGATGCCATCAGCGTAGAGGAGATCTTGTACCTCGTAAAGACTTCGCTCGATGCTCGGACTCTTGTACAATAAGTTTCTCAGCTCCGGAATGTCCAGATCCTGAACGTGAAGAAGATTTTGTTCGATATTCAGGAGACTCTCCTCGATTTGCACCAAACATTGTTCGATGTCACAGCTTGTCTCAGAGTCTTGCTTATTCTTTTCTGATTGACTGGTATTGTTCGTCTCGCATCCTTCGTTGTTCTGTTTCCTCGCGGTATCGTCCTTGAGATCTTTCGACGTGATTTGAGACTTTTCACTATGATTTTCCGACCACATTTCTGAGGGCCAGGGGGCCATTAGCGAAGCTTGATGTTGCGTTTGACTGTCGTAAAATACGCGATAGTTGCTATGGCTGTTGGCTATCTCATAATTCGCGCCTTCTGTTCTAATATCCCAGGCTGAATTATCACTTTCTGTATTCTCCCTGTAATCTCGATTTCGCATATCTGCTGCGGGATCGTTCTTACCATGGCTATTCGCCACCGCGTATGTTGATGTTACGTCAAGATCGCGAGTCGCATTGAAATTATTTCTGGCGCTCTGGTATCCCGAATATAATTCTGTGTACTTGCTATGGCTGCTCGAGTCTTGATAGGCATTTCCGTGACTATTCGCGAGCGGATATGTCGCGCCAAAGTCGAAATCATGCCGGAATCGTCTCGAATCACTTCTCTTCAATCGTTTGTATATTGACCACTCGTGACTGCCGGTATCTCTGTCACAGTCATCGTCATCGTCGTCGTTGTATTCAACAGCGTCTTCGGGATACGATAATTCTTCTGTGTCGATCTCGGGAACCGAAGGACCGAGATTCCTGTCGTCGATCAAGATGTAACCGTCCATCACATTTTCGTCGAGATCGATCCATTTTTTGGAACGATCTTTGGCGGCTCTTCGACGTCGCTTTCCGGAACGATTGCCTTCGGGATATCGTCGTCGTTCGCGTATTGTAGGATCGTGTACATGTATTTGCACCGGGCAGAGGACGTCGGGATTCCTCTCGGCGTTGTCGCACAGCCCTGGCGGTGTCGTCGTCACCAATGGCGCCGCTTCATCCAGGAGATTATCTCTGGACCCGCGGTATCGGTAGCCGGGACAGGGTGTGTCAACCGGTGAATGCGAGAGAAGATTGACGTAACCACCGGCGCCTCTGCCTACGAGTGATCAGGTACTGATCGATGGATTCATCTGATCGTGAATCACAGCTGAGTCTTGGCTCTCGTTCAGCGCTTCGTTACTCGATCTTAGACGATGCATGTTGCATATTACCTGTTGGCGCGAATACGTGGAAAATAAAAATGAGAATATCTACGAGTGATTTTTCACGGCTTATATAATAAAGAAGATAGCAAGCTAAAATATATTTTATTTTTCAAAAGACGCAAAAAATATTTGAATATTTGTATTATTACATGAGCTTATTTGTACGTATTATTCAAAATTTCATTATTAAAATTACACAACAATATATAGCAATTATATAATAATTGATAATAAAGAAATAGATACGTTAATATTTGATTGTTAGTAAAAGAAAATAAAAATTTTTGCGGCTCCGTAATACGCATTTTATTATGAGTTAGAACATATATTCAGTATTTTTGAGATTTTCAATGAAACATTATATTATATTTATCATTTTATTTTCCAGCTTCAAAAGAGTTAGACATTTCTTTTAGAAAGCACAAAAAAATACTTAGTTACTTTATTAAAATATATTGTTATTATAGTTACACACCTTTGGGGGACTTATCCTAATGTCTCTAAATTCTTCCGTGAATGTTAGAATATAAGCGCAAAATGCCATTGCACAAAGCCATTCAGTTACCGTGCTAGCTACATGTAATTCCCACCCGCCGTCTTCTTTGTACCATTTCCGAGGATTCGTTCCTAGCATAGAGTAAAATTCAAATCTTAATGTAATAAGATGTAAAATAGAAAATAAACGGACTAACCTTTGTAGGCGAGATGGGCCAGCACGCCTGTAATAAGGATCACGAAAAAGCACACTGTACAGAAGGTCGATAATGCTGTGCGAAAATGCGCGAGTCGTAACGAGCATCCTGACGGATGTAAGTAAAATGAACATACGGCCTGTAAAAAAAATTATTGTGATTTATATGCATATTATATATCATATGAAAACTTTTTTATGTGTGTTTAACATAAATACTTTGAGAAAAAAATAATGTTGAATCAACAACAGTATAATTGGAATTTATTTTATTAATTCAATAACATTATTAATCAAATCAATACACCATGATATTGATTTTTTATTTGATTAATAATGTTATTGAAAATAAAATCCAATTACTCTGATGTTGTTGATTCAAAATTATTTTTTCTTGTGTATAAAATATAAATATAAATATAATTCTAAGACCATTTTTTGAGAAAGAACAAAGTCACTACGAAGCATTTAAATTAATTAATTTTAAAGTTAATTTTAAATTTTGTTTTTTTAAATTTATAAGCTTATAAATTCATTCAGCGTATTTTATTCTTATATAGTTTCAATAGTTTCATAAATTATAAGGCTGTTATATTTTCTAAATATCATCTAGTCCCATGTGTAATTAAATTAAATCTTGGTATCAAGAAGTATTTAGCGAAATCACTTGCTATGAATAGTGACCTTCTAATACGGACCTGGGTCCAAAAATACGCGGTACCACCTCCAAAGCAAAGCACTGCGCCGATGAGATGAACTACAATTACTGAAGTTTCTTGAAAATTAGCGACAATGGATAGACCGGCGGTTGACGTAAGGCCGAATATTAAGGCCCAATGATTCCACTTCGGCAAGGAGGTTGGTGAACCAAAGGTATTGGTGCATTCTTTAACTTGGAAATATCTTACGTAGATCATAAAAAACACTGCAACATATAAGTGACACAGTTGTATTTTATCGGATATTTATATATTATAAATGTTTATTAATAATTACTCATATATTCTTATCGTAAAATTCTTAATCTCTCTTATCACATCATCACTTTTTAATTGCACATCGAAACTTTGTTGTTTTTAATCCAATTGAAAAAATTGCCCGTTATAAATTGCTACTTGAATATTTCTGGACAATATTAGTAGTTGGCATGATATAAAATATATGATGCATCAAGGGTGTCATTTTTGATAAAAAATATCGTGCTATTTTACTTACTGAGAATAGCAATTAGATTGACAGTTTGAGAGAAAATGCAACTCTCTGGTGCATAAGTTGCTGCATCGGAAATGTAAGGAAAACCAGCTTCGACGTGTCCTAGTAAAACAGCGATTACATATCTGCAAATTATGGATATAAAATAGTCTTTTATAAAAATTACTTATTATTTATTATTAAATTCCATTAACAGAACTAAACATAAAAGTATAAAAGTTTAAGAATTATCTCAATGTTCCTTTTTTATTTATATCAAAAGAAAGTAATAATAATAATAATAATATAAAGGATACGAAGAAATAAGTAAATATATGTATATGTAATATATTAACATATATAAGTATAGTATATAACTATAAATTGGATGATTTATTAAATTTAAATATAATAATATTTGAAAAATTTATTTTTGATGCGGAAATTTCTTCAAAGTTCCAATCAGTCCTGCTTACCGAAAGAATAATAATTAAATACTAATAAATAGATAAAACAATAGTAGATATCAAGTTGCTTTAAAAAAATATATATGAACCTATTAATATATAAATTTCTTAATGATTTATAAACACGATTAGATTTACGTTAAAATGAAGATCGTAGGCAAGGAGATAAAAACGGCGATAGGCAGATAATGTAGATTAGCAAAGAACTCTTGTTTGTCCATGATTTCAATGTCAATTTTAAAGCCGGTTGATGTTAATCGTCGACGTCTGCGATCGACACCGTTATCGAAAAGTCTTGCGTCGATGCAGCCGCCGACGAATTACGATCATTCATATTCCTTGTTGGCTATTCATAGGCCTTTAATTGTCTCTTCGTTATGTATCAATCTCTGCAACGTCTAAACCGACGGCAGCACTGTGATTCAATTGCCATTAATATTCCCTCAATGAGTTCTGCAAGAGAAATAATTGTCATTATTTTTTTTAACGAACAATATATGGTCTTACAATATATTGCAATTAATTTTATCAGTGCGAGAGAGATAAGTGATACTTTTATGTTTATGATTGACAACAATTGTCACTACAAATGTGATTTATGAATATTTTTAAATAATTTTTTACGTAGAGTAAATAAAAAGAATATGAAGTTTATATAACATCGTGTTTTTTACACACTGTTATGTATTATTCGAAGAATTATATAGCTATAAAATGTAATTATATAATAGATTATGCGCAATTTTACATTCTCTCTTATATAATTTCATGTAATTCAGTAATTTACAACGCTATATTTTCTAGTAAAAATTTGTCCGACTTTTTTCTTAAATGCATATTAAGTTATAAATTTTGAAAGCGATAAAAACATTATTTTCATTAAATGCATTTGTAATGTCCGCAATTTATGAATTTATCTCTCAGTTGCCACGTACATTAAATACATCAATCATTTTGTCCATGATTTTATCCTTATATCGAAGAATTCCCTTTGTCATTTCTTGCAAATCATAATCGGAATAGCCGGAGGAGCTGTTAAGAAAGCTTACGTTTGCGATATCTTTGATAAGAAATTTGGGAAGTTGAAGTCATCTTTGAGAAGAAGTTTAACTCTTTTATGGATATAAGAAAACAGATTTTAACATTAAAATTTTATCACAATTAATGACCATTTGAAACTGATACCTTTTTGACTTAATTTTTAATTTAATTTAATTTTAATCATACATATTTGCTTCTAGTGGCACAAGCAGATTTATTATTACTAATATTATAATATTATTAAGTATACATTAATTTAACCAATAATTTAATTACATTACATAAATCTTTGTCTCTTCTATCTCGATGATTTATAATTAAGTTTTATAATAAAATTTAATTAAGCTTTTACATCGAACTAATTTTATAATTTGAATTGAGATTTTTAAAAATAGTATTTAATAAGACGTGAATTATCATTAAAAGTAGGTATAATAAAATATAAGTCAATAATAAAAAGTATATAAATTATTATAATAATAAATAATTAAATTTCACACACAAAGATAACAGTTTCAAGTGGTCGAAGTGGAAATTAAAAGACATCAAAGCATACATATATATTGAGGAAAATATCAAAAAGAGAGAATTTTTTAAATATAGCAATATAACATCGTCATTAGTACATGTGTGGCAATAAATAGAGTCTACACATTGTGGACTTTACGCAGCCTACTAATGAACACCTCGATAAATTCGATAATAATGACAGTCATTTAATCTATTACATTAGAAATTTATACTGAAAAGATAGCAAGGAAAGCTACATTATGCTTATGTAAATAATACCGTGCTGATAATAGCGTTTGCGACACGTCACGTTTAATGAACGTGCGAACTGTCACACGGGCGTTGTCTGCGTGAAAGAGTGAAGCGTGCGGTTAAGCGAAAAGCTACACATACAAGATGCAAGCGGATATGACAAACTAGAAATCCCCAGTTAAATAACATTTCCCCGTTGTCATTTTCCGCTCGTCATGCTAAAAATAAAATGGATGAATGATACATCGGTGATATTTATAATAGAGCGTGCAACAGCGCGAAAGAGAGTAGTTTATACATTCGTGTTTACTGTGTTATTATGATGCGCACAATTATGGAAAAAAAAAATTTCGTTAATCAGTCTTCGATTATTATTTCCGTGTTATTTGAGAAATTAAAATTGAATTTGCCATAAGACGCACTCGACGACACATCGGGCAACGCACAAGGAATTTGCACCCTGAAAACAATGGATCCCTCCCGTTCCTTCTCTACTCTTTCATTCGTAGGGTTGCCGAGACTTGTCGGAGTCGGAGCTCTTCGTATGATATATTCACTTTGCGAAGCATATATATGCCGGAAGCCGCGGCGAATAGAATTTTACGCGCAATTAGAAATTTTTAGGCGAGAGAGGCACACTTGTCAGCTGTCCCGTTTGAAATTTTTCCAAGTGCAAACTTTTGTAGAATTGCGTTGGGACTCGTCGGGAAATGTGAAGGCTACGACCCGTCGAGGTGCGCGATCGATGTTGCGTCAACGAAAACGACGCTCTCGGCAGCTGCGCCGCGTCGGACCGTCGTCGCCGGCGCTGTCGGCGTCGTTACTGTCTGACTAGCACATTTGCCAACGACTATATCTCCTACCATATTCTCGTTTTCCGTCGCTATGATGTGTTCGTCGCTCGCACTCTTGGGATTAATAGCGATGACTATTTAAAAACGAAGTTATCAATTCAATGTAATTTTGTTTAAATCCAGAAAGAGTGAGATATTATGCCATAATTTGCAAAAATATATAAGCTAAATATAGAGGAATGCATGTGAGTCTTGAATTCTATATTTTTTTATGCAAAATTAAAGTTAAAATAATTTCAAGATTATCATTCTTTTAGAAAATAAGAATAGAAAATTTAAACTTTTCTTCTTATTGCAATATTAAAACAAATACAATAATTGTAGGATTACTCTATTGTTTTCATATCCCTTGATTTTACAATAAATCATTATTGGGGAAGCAAAATAAAATAAAATAATTTTTATTTTATTTTGAAATTTAATCTCTTTATTAAATATTCGTGCAATTATTATTCTAAATTGGAAAATATAATAGTAAAATTAAGATAAACGGGGTAAAGATTTATTCTTTCGAACATTTGAAAAACTCAGAAAATTGAAAGATAAAATATTATAATAACAGAAAAAGTATTATATATAATATACAAATATACAAATAAAAATTACTTACAACTAGTACTGATATTGTTATATCCAGTTGTAACTATAAATACTCAAATATTTTAGCACATTAGCACGTATTGCATCGATAATTTACTTTCATTCGATAGATGCGATTCCTTTTATTATGGAAAGAAATTTTATCATGTGATAATTTCAGCACGATTTCTATCATTAGCTTTAAATTATTGAAATTGAAAACATCTTTGGGGAATTATATTTGATTAGTATTTCCTTCTTTTATAAATATAGTTTCTTTTGTATGTTACGCAATGTTTAGTTTTTTTTGTATGTTACGCAATGTTATTAAGTGAATTTTTTTAATGAGATGTATGTAAATAGCATGTAAATTATATATAATCATAAATATATGTAGATATATTTTAAATAATTGCAAATATCTATATTACATAATACATGAATTTTTAAATTTTTTTTGTCTTTGTTCCGAATTATAGATCATCTAAAGAGACCTTTAGATATAACAAAATAATTATCATATAAACATATACTTTTTAAATATTCTCCCCGGTTAATCAATTAATTATAGAAAGTAATATTATTTTCCAAACATTTTTGAAAGAATATCTATTGATATTTTTTTAAAAATGTTGGAACAACACATATTGTGTTGATGTATAAATTATGTTAAATATATCTTATATTTATTTTTAATTTTTTCCATTTTTAAGAATTAAAAAAATTATTCTTTATAAACAATATAGTTTAATTACAATATTACAAATATATAAATAATGGTCAAAATTATATAGTCATTTATATTATTATTACATATATGGAAAATTATAAATGACAAAAAGTAATCATATATGTAATAAATATATGTAATAAATTACTGTTACAATATATTTCTTGTTTAATAAATATTTATTAAGAAAAATTGATAACAAAAATTATTAAATAATGACGACAAAAAATAATTTTTCTTTATCTTATTTGATGTAATTTCAGATTATTTTGTAAAATAAGTTTTATTATTATATATATGTTTATATAAGAATATAATTGCACGCATTAATATAATAATTAAAGTTATTAAAATTATTAAAAGTTATTAAAACAGACGTTGATTGCTGTAATTAAGCTTCATAATTATTTATAAATGACGATGTGAATCTTAACTTTCTTTGTTTGCAATCTTGCGCTATTTTAATATGATGTTTTGATTCTTGATAATTGCATATAATTATCTCTCACTGGTTATATAATTATAACGTGTCTTAGTATTGTTAGAATAGAAGAATAAAGTTTTTTAAGGAAGTGAAAGTCAGAGTATATAACACACATAATTCTTTTCTTCTTATTTGATAGTATTATACATAGCTTAATTTTTCATTATTATACATAACATTCTTAATAATTTTTTTGTGTATTTTGTTTTTTACAGTATATGTAGAAAATTTATATGTAATTTTTAGCTTTGTGTTATGATTTAATTTTTTTTTGTTACATTTTGCAATATGTATATATATGTATATATATATATATATATATATATATATATATATATATATAATATCTTCTAGTTAGTTTTTCATTGCTAGTATTTTTTTTACGATAATATATAGTAACTGTCAGAGATATAAGATATATTAAAGAAATAGAATATTGGACTAAATACAAGCTAAGTACTATATAACTAGCGGAAACTTGACAAATTGATGAGAAGAAATTATGTATCTTGTGATGTTGCCGCTTCCATTTTGTGCGACGTCGCTGTATTCTCGATTTTATCCAAATACATTAACTAAAACAAACATTTATAAAATTATTGCGTGGAATATATATTTTTGTCATACATTTTATTATCTATAATTATAATTGTTATAACAATCATGCAGAAAAATAAAAATAAATGTGTATATACAAAATGCTCACAATCACACAGTCTCTCTTTGTAAAATACAAAATTCTTAAAGTTCTTAATAAATTCGAAATTAATTTTTGCTGACAAGCAAATCAAGCAGTCATTATTTAATAATTTTTGTTATCAATGCACAAAGGGGTATTTAAAAATAATAAGTATACAAAAACTTAACAGTTTACCAAATATTAGTGGCCTTCATCAATTTCGAAATTCTTCATGACATTTGTGCAACTATCTCAACGCGATGTTAACGATCGGAAGCACTGCTGGAAATCATTCTCAGTGTCTTATTTAGCAATATGTCTTATTTAGCAATATCTAGAAATCTTCTCTATTATATCGAATATTTAAAATTGCGTTGGGATTTTTGCATAAGTGCCGCAGAGGATTATTTCAAGGATAAAGAAATCAATTTTTTGGCAAGCTGTTAATTTTTTATACATAAATTCTAGTTATTTTTGAATACCTCCACGTATATACTTTTTTATTTAAAAAACAATTCAAACAATTTATATAATTAAAATTGATAATTAAAATTTAAATGATAATTAAAATTTTATTTTGATAATTAATTTATTACTGTAAATGTATGTAGAGAATTTTATTCTGTAATTAAATTTAATTCAATTTTAATTTAACTAGCTTTTACAAATAATAACAACAATATTTAATAATAAATATTAAAAAAGTTTTGATAGAAAATAGTCTTATAAGTTCCGAAATTTCTAAAGAATTTAATCAAAAAATTTTTAAAGAAATTAAAATTTAGCAAGAAAGACATACACAGTAGCAGTAAATATTACATAAAATTATTCATTACAAGTTTATGAACTTCGGGAAAGAATTTAACAAATGCAAAGAGAGCCGATATTTTAGCGTAACTTTTCAAACGAAAAAAAATCACTACTGGTAATTAATTGGTAATTAATTGTGATACCGTAACTACAGGATCTTCAAAGTTAATTAATCGAAATTCCAGAACGAATGTCAGAAGAAATGCGCAGTAAACTATCGCGAGAATCCACTCGCATGTAGTACTCGCGACATGCCAGCCCCAACCACCGTCTGCCGGTAGCCACTTCTTGTAATCATTACCTGCAACAAGTTAAATTCTCATTTTATTTATTCTTAGTACTTATTTACTGTCTGAGCATATTACAATTAAAAATATTTAAGCTATAGCATTTTAACTTCATTTAATGATAAGATTAATTTTTTAACGATTTTATTTAAGTATGTATGATGTTAAAAATGTTATATATGAGTACACATTAGCGTATGATGTTGATGTATGATGTTAAAAATGTTATATATGAGTACACATTTGTACACAAGTTTTAAATGATATGAACCTTGAATGATATGAACCTTGACTAATCTAGCTGTTTTGCATCTAAATGATTGCGGAATCTTGATGAATATATATTTGTTATAACGATGAGTTATAATTTATAATACTCATTTGCTTACCTTGAAATTCAGACATCGAGATATAGCCAGGAATGATTGTAGAAACCGTCAATATTAATGTGAGAGCCGAAAGAATTGCGCGCACATAAACAACAATCGTGCCGTTCAGAGCTGGCACCATTTTATAACTCAAATATGTCTAAAATAATTATAATAATTATTTCATGACGATAAAATTATTTTTTTTTACATAGTTATCCATTATTTCCAGCTACTTTGATACTGCTTTAAAGATAAATATTTAAACGATCATTGCGTCAAAAAATGGTTGCAACAATGTCGATAAATTAATGTTTTTCGCGAGAATACCTATTTTGGTAAAATATAATCCATATTATGATATACCTGGAAACAGAAATAGAGAGTACCAGCAGAGAAGCAAGTCATCGCTCCCACCATGTGAGCGGCGATTACGCGAGCCTCTTGAAAATTGGCGAGTATGTCTAGACCGAAACAAGCGAGGATACCACAGCATGCGGTCACTGTAATAATTCTCCTGCTTACGAGATCGTGACCTCTTTCTATTTGCCATTGCAGTACTTGTCGATGCCTAATGTAGACGCAGCATCCAACTGTAGAAGATGCAAATCGAATTGTTCTTTTATATCTAAACAGAATTTACCTAAAGTCACTTTTCTAATTCTCCCTCTTTTCCCTTATTTTTTTATTATGCTGTTTGTGATGTTATTTATTTATTTTCTATTTTATTGCTATTTGAATTATTTTTGTTCCTAAATTTTGTATTAAGTATTTTCTACAGAATTCTTTTATATTTGTGCGTAATAAGTAACAAATCTTATTTAGATTTCTTCTTCATTTTAACTTCTATTTTTTTTTTAACTATTTTGCAAAACTCTAGATCTTAAAGTGTGAGATAAATTTAATTTAATCTCTGACTTTGAACGTATATACATACGTAAAAGAGCTGCAATATTTAGGCATTGTGCAAATATGCAGGATTCCGGTGATAGTGTGCCGGTCTCTGATATATAAGGGAATCCAGGTACCACATGGTCCCATTGCACCGATATAGTGTATCTGAAACATGAACCATTCATAAACTATAAACGTATGGTATGAATGTATAAAACGCTTGCATCAAGTTTCTTCGATTTTCTCAACCGCTCGCGGAGCTCTTTTATGATTAATTCTTCATCGTTAATAATTTTGCATTTGCTACTCAAACGGATATTTTAAGATACAGGCTAACAGAATAATATAATTTAGCCTTATGTAAAATAATTTATCCTTTATTTTTAATTAATCGATTTACGTACATATTTAGAATATTTACTTCTTTAAAATTTTATATATTTTTATTTGAAAAAGTAAAACTCTTTGTAAATTTTACAAATTACTGGTATAGTTTATTTTAATTAGGATAAAGTAAGATAAAATTTAAACCAATTTATTTTTCTCCAAAAGAATATTATATGTGTTATTCATATAAAGATATATTCTAGTATTCTTGATATGCAAATCTTGTAATTAATTAATTAATATTTTAGTATTTTGTATCAATATAGTATTTAATTTTCTTTCAATCACAATATTATTTTTAATGAAAAACATAATTTTCAAAATCTTATACTACATGGATAATCCGCATCATCGGAGTAATTTGCATACATTTCTGTGATTATATTCTGATCAAGTTTTCAAGATTCTGAAAATAAATGAAAAAAGCATATCTATAATTGGATTTTTGTCAGATTCATTGTCGATAATGATTGGCATAATTAAACTTGATTTAATTATAAAATTGGTGTTGACTTTTCGTATCACATTTAACATCTAATTTTGAAAGAAATTATTAATTGACAGTACAAAGGAGATATAAATTAGCTAAGACTCATTATGAATAACAAATAGTGATTAGGAAGTTAACAAGCTAATCGCAAAGTTTAAATGCTCGAGGAAAATTGTTTCAGAGACTGTAATAGTTTAAATTTCAATTATACTGAAAAATATATTTCTAAAAATATATATCTTTGCTCTCTGCTATACTAATTGCTTTTAATAGTTTGATTTATCATTCTCCATTGAAAAATTGAAGACTTACGTAATTACAAATGTCACGGGAATCAAAATGAAGAGACTCAATGGTAATACGTGTAGTTTCCCATATGCCATTTTCGCTTTATCACCCTTGGTGCTGCAAGACACGGTCGTTCTTATCACGCGTTGTTATCAGTTCGGTGCGTCCTATACCCGCACCTGTACACATTCTTCATCGAGAATCAAGATTGGTGGCGATACGATAGCTTGGTATGATCGATGGATTGAGAAGGACAACGAGATGATTGGTCTGATTAAAGTAGGGTTGAAGTGACATATATTTTAGTTGGGTTCATATAAAGAATCCAACCAGAACGGCCCAAGAGACCGCTGGAAGATTCTTTGTGTGATTTATAATGTTCATTCCATGACATCGAGGGATGTTGGCAATAAAAAATTATATCTTTTTTTCCTGTATATCGCACAGTTTTAATGAATCTCTTGATATATTAAGGTAAATACATACACGTATCAAAAGTAGAGTGAATAATTATAATAAATGTAAAGAACAAACAATATAAATAAATATACTTTTATCTCATTATCAATCAATTCCGTGGCATTATATTTATATGAAGCATTAAGAATTTGTTACATCGAATCACTCTTCGCCTCTTCTCTATAATAATAAGACATTTAAGATGACATCCGAGAAAACTCGATACATTATTGAGGAAAAGCTTCAAAGAGGAAACTGAAATTATACTATATTAATTTTTGTAATAAAATGAGAAATAAGATTTTTTGCAAGACAAATAAGACGGAGAGAAGAGAGATTCGCAGAGAAAGTGAAAATTTGATAATTTGTGACAGTTGAACTTTACCGCAGAAAATAGATCGTCGAAACTCACCTTGAGAACGTTGTCAAGTTTTACAACTTTAAGAATGTACTATCACGACTCATGTATAGGAACACTTAATCGTGGAGCGCTTTGGAGCGACTGTCCACTGTTGTGCTACCTTTTATCGTACTGATCGCCACGCACACAATTACGTGCTAATTAATATGACGCGAGGCAATATGATATATAAATCCGTCTCTAATAATTTATTCCTTTTAATATACTTCTGTAAGAATTTTTCTCTCTCTTGATTAAAAATAGGAAATAATGATAATACTTATGTACCTACGTGCGCGTTTGATTTTGATATATTTAAATAATTTGATCGAAATTATTTATAAATCAAAATGAGGAAGATAAACTAATTAAACTAATTATTCTGATTAAACTAACAGTAAGTTATTTAATAATCCTATTATATTTAGTTAGTATGTATCTTCTTATTTTCAAACTAGCATTTTGGGATTAATTTTAAAGAAGAGAATTAAGCCATCAATCGATAAATGGTTCAGAAATATAAACTCTTTAAGTGTCATTAAATTAAACGTACGAATGGTCACGCGCGACGTAACACACGCCTCGCTTAAAACTAGTAGGTGGACTAGTAGGAATTCGTAATTAACGCAACGCTATCGATATCACCATTTATTGGAATGATAATGGGGCCGTTTGGCAATGCTGTTTCTAACTCGACCCAATTTCAGATTGTGTCTACTGCACGCCGTAACTATTCCACGCCAATGAAACATCTATGAAATTGGGAGACTTTTCGTTTAGGAAATCTATAGTCAGGATATTTTGTAAAAGAAAATCGCATACATGAATTACATATTTGAACCACATTTTTATATCAACAACATTACGACAATACAATATGCTCAATAATTTTTTTTGATGTCTTATCGCTATGGTACATTTAACGGTTTACTTTAATTATGAGATAATTTGGTAATGATTATTGTTTCTTAGGCAATATTTACATATAGTTTGTTATTGTTAACATCTTGGCAATATATGTATATGTATATATAATTATAAGTGATTTTGATTTTCAATCTTTCAATTTCTTTAACTTTGTTTCTTGAATATTTTAAAATGAATATTTTTTTATCACAATATGTCCGTTAAAGCAGTATAGCAGTATTTTCTTAGTGGCAGTAATTTGAGAGTTTTAGTAAAAAGCATTTATAAATATTAGACGCAGGATATGTTTTTTGGCAAGTTTTGTATCATTTTTTAAATGGCAGTCAATTAGTATATTATTGATTTTATATTAATTATAAAAATGAATAATTATAAAAAACGTTTCTTGCGCAGAAAAATATATTTTAATCAATTATTTTTCTCGCTTGAATGAATTGTTTGCATTTTAAATTTTAATCAAATCGTTGATACTCGCAAATATTCACAAAATCTTTTCTCAAATGTTTTCCATGACATCCATTTGATATAAGCAATTTTTTTTCATTTATGAAGTTTCTGTTTGCTGGATAAAAATGTAATATTGTTTCAATAAAATCTTAATTTATATAGGTAAATTTTCAAACATAAATTTTCAAAAATTTGCTGTTATAGATGTCATATATTAATATAGATCGACAATTTTTTGCAAATGTTTAAAATAAATGTATATACATATGATTTAATGTTAAATATTTACATTATAGTATAAATAGTCTGATAAATAAATAAATGCACATTTTGTTATCTGAAGTTGATTGCCAGATCTTATTATGTAACTTCCGAAGAAAATTGTGAATAATATATACGTAATGCATCTTGCATTTTCACAGGTATTATCGTTTCTAAAACACCTCAGACTAGTTTTCATATCTTAAACTGTGTCTACACGTAGTTAAGTCTCATTTGCATAATTATTCAATTATTTACAATTGTAATGAAAAGTATATTGGCATTTTATCTATAAAAATCGATAATTAATATATTAAAATAATCAAATAATATTTTAGTAAAATATATATGTGCCTTTCTTATATATATATTCTTATTTTTTTAATTAGATTTTATTAAATTGTATTAGAGTTAAAAAATTAATTTATTAGAGAAAATAAAATTTGTGTACAAAATTAGATCTTATTCAAATGCTTTAAAATTAAAAAAAATGTTATTTAAACATAATTTACGATACATTTGTTTGTCAATGCCATATTTGCTACGATTGTATTTTCAGTTGCTTTATCGGTCGCATAACAATCATTTGTGAATTATTTGTACCAAGAGTTTGAGCTTTGCAATTTTATTCATGTAGTTAGCAAATACTTTCCATTCTTTGAAGGTCTTTAAGGCTCAAAACATAATATCATTGATAAGTTAATTATAGTAATGTATAATAATAATGTATAATAATAGATTATTTTTTTATCATTAGACAATGATAATAAGTGACAATAAGTTTGAAGAAAGACACCAATGCGAATCAATGTTGTTTTTTTTGTGGACGGAACGTTTCCGTGGTTTTCTTCTTGTCGAAAGCCGACGTTATTGTCCTTAATTGCATCGCGAGTCAAGTAACTCATGCTATCGGAGTGATTACATTCTCAGTGAACTAAATCGTTCAAGTTAGCATATCACTACTTATTATATTTATGACTAACTTTTATAAATACTTAAATAGATAACAGAGGAACAAAATAAAAGTAATAACTTAAAGTTAAATATTAATAGATTAAATGTGTGGCTTAATTTAATTTATATATTTTGTTAATTTTTCAAGGTTTTATAATTTTCTTCGTGGATTATTTTAAAAATTGCATATAATAATAATAATAAAATTGCGGTTTCAAAAATTTGATGCTTAATAAATTCAATATACATATATGAACCATGTTTTGATTTAATTTTTTTCTAATGTAAAAAAAATAATCTAGCCATGTTTGCGATTCTAAATGCAAATATATACGTATACAGAAGTTCGACATGTTAGAAATGAATTTTCTCTATATACTTGACAATGTATCATATAAGGATACATTTTTGTTCCGTAGTTTTGTAATACATTTGCGATTTATTTATAGCTAAAACGCATTCTTAAAATCTGTATAAATTAAATTTATACATACATATATCTTTTTGTTTCATTCGCGTGTTAATTTCAGTTTTATAGACTGAGTATTTTAAAAAGATTACATTAAAAATACGCATTAAATTATGCACATTTCCTTCTATTTATAAATTCTATTATGTTTTTTTTTTCCCAGTTATTATTTTATCTTTATTTTTCTCAATCTTGTCAAGTTTCGGATTAATAACGTTGCATTGTTCGTACTCGAAATTATGCGCTAGCCTCGTCGATGACAGTGATCATTCTGGTGTTGGCATTAGATGGTACATTAGTGAAACGCCACTTCGATTTTACTTCCTCCTCGTCAGCTGTCAATTGCACGCCGCTAGTTTGACCACAATTAGATTGGCCAGTCTTGGATCGCGCCAAGGACCATCTGCGTCCACGGCGATCCATAATAATCGGCATCTCGGCGATTAAATTATTCTCGAATTCTGAAAGCATGAGATAGTTCTCGACCTTATTACACGAGGTTATACAGTCTCCTATATAGTCGAGATCCTCCAGTAGATTGTCGGGTAAATCCATGTCGGCGATACCTTCCTCCGAAATGCATGTGAGTTCCGGTTTATTCGTTCCTAAGACGTCTATTGCTTCACCTGAAAAACGTTACGTGATAAATAAATTACGCATAATATTTATAATATAATTACTAATTACTTGCTACGCAAAATTCTCTTTGCATTTTATAATCTACGCATATATTAAATATATTAAATCTTTGATTATATATTATATTACATACAGGGTGTCCCAGTTATCTTCCGTCATCTTTTACAGACAGATTCCTGGGATCATCTGAAGACGATTTTTCCTCAACGAAAATGTCGAGGCATTAACAATTTTCGAATTATAAGTGATTGGAAATAAGGGGTTTTTTGTAAACTAAGCTTTGTAGAAATAAAATATTAATAAAACCACATTCTTCGATTAATTTTAAATAGAGTTTACTTTAGTTGAGTTTTAATTTAAGACTTAATTGCAAAGATATATGATGACAAAAATCAGGAACATGCAAAAAATGATGGCCTTCATTGATATTTTCGCTGAGGAAAAATCGTCTTTAAATGACCAGGAATCTGTCTTTGAAAAATGACGGAAGATAACTGGGACACTCTGTATATATATTATATTATATTATATATATATTTATATATATTATATATTATATATTATATATTATATATTATATATTATATATTATATATTATATATTATATATTATATATTATATATTATATATTATATATTATATATTATATATTATATATTATATATTATATATTATATATTATATATTTTATATATATATATATATATTATATTATATATATTTGATTATATATTATATATATATATATATATATATTAAAGATTTGGAATATATATACAAGATTTGGAAAGATTTATATTTTATTTCCTAGACTTATTTCCGATACTTTTTTCACGACTAAGGAATAATACAACCAATAAAGTTTGAGTCTCGCCACGCAAATAACAGCAAAACCATGGAATGTAAACAATATAATTCTACATTCACACTTGCATGCTAAAGACTTGCTAGAGAAATTTTGTGACGTATAATATATGTTTATATTACAAGGTCTTATCGTCACTCGTGTAACAAGCTTTAAGCAAACAAGTAGTGGAGCAAATAACTTTGCGTCACATTATTTCTCGAAGTATGATCGTAAGTAATATAATATTAAAGCAATTATTATCTATATAAGAATAATTATTAAATAATAAATTGATATATTATAATAAATATTCAGCTAAATTATAATAGTTTAAATATAAAATAGATTCTAATATATATATATATATATATATTTATATATCATAATTAAAGTAATAATTCCGTGATAGCGCGATAATTAAAGCTTTAGCTTAATTAAGAGTTGTCATAAATTATATTATGCAATACAATAAAATATGTAGTATTATTTAAAGAGAATTCTTTTCACGTGTCTTTTTTATTCATAAAATTGTAAAAATTAGAAAAAAAAAAAAAAAAAAATATATATATATATATATATATATATATATATATATATATAATTTATGTATTGTACTGGATACACATATATATATGTATTGTACTGGATACACATATATATACCTTGTACTGGAACAATATCAGCTCCTAGAACGACTGCAGCGGCCGTCGCTCCAGCTGCTCCAGCAGCGGCCACATGAGGTCCTTCATTCTCGGGCTCTTGACTGAATGACGGTTTTCGTCGTTGAGGACAGTTGTCCGAGACGCATGTGTGTTTAGTGCCATTAACTTTATGCTTATGCTTGGACAAATTTCTTCTATGCAAATCGATGAAAAAGAGGGTAAAACTGCCAACTAAGACGCATGTCGAGCTGAAGTAGTAGCCAGCTTTACCACCGCAGCCCACGTTTATATATCCTATAAGAAATACACATATAATCATATTCATAAGAATACTTATACAGAATTTAATCTATAATACGTTTCCAAATATTTCAAAAACTTCATTTTTAAAAAGTTTTGTTTGCAAATAAAATGCTTAAGTGATCACAATGAATAGAATATGTGATAGAATATTTGTGCTTGTTGGAATGCATAAATATCGTTAGCTTTTTTTATTACCCGATATTGGGACTCCAATCGCAATTGGTATCGCTTGAGAACATTGAACGAAACCCCATGTTTTGGCGAAATTCCTCGCCCTCACTCTTTCGTACGTATACATCTTCAGGCTATAATGATAGCCGCCGCAGAAGATACCTACAGGAAAACTAGCGTTTTTTTTACTGCTCATAATACGGTCTCGAAAGTCTTTTATGGCATGGGATAAAGAAAAAAAGGCGAATGAATTTCGCTACTAAATCCCGATTATCTTGTTTCTTTATGGTAAGTTTGGCGGTTTCCGCGCTGAATCATCGATGTTAATCTTCGTTTGAAGAAAAATCGGAGCAATGTTTGATCAATTCAGAGAAATTATTACAATTTTATTTATTACAATCGAAAATATATTCTTTCTACTATCATGCGAAGAATTATCTAACAATTTTTTGTCAACATTCAACATTTTTTATTTTTCTCAAGAATATAAGGTCTTCTTTAAATTAATTTTTTACGAATGAAGGTCTCATTTTACCGTAAATCCATGCAAATATAACATATCCATGGTAATTTCCTTGAACGGCGGTGAGAGCGAGAATACAAAGTCCGCACACAAAGACAGCCGCTTGTGTGAGATATTGGCGGGCTATCCTGCATTCGACGCTCCTATGAACGACCAAAAGGCCGAATGCTATGCAGCCGAGAGTCCAAGCGAGTCCAAGGTAAGCTTGCAGCAAAACAACCGCATCCCCGAGACCTTCTTCCTCGACCTGATGCGCCTACATGAAGAAAATTATTTATTTATTTATTTTATGCATTTTAAAACCTAAAATGTACATCGGATATTAATATTTATTTTTTGCCGCTAGAGATGTTCAAATATATAATTTAATATCTAAAATTATCTCAAAATTAAATATTTTAATATAAATTTTTTTATTTTAAATAGCAATTTGATTATAAATTTGTCGTGTATTACTTTTAAGCAATTAAAAATATAATTGTTATAGAAGGGAAAATTTTGACTAATAATGACTTAATAATGATAAAATTTTTATTTAAATGATATATAAAAGATGAATTCTGCGCAATTTTAGTGAAATTTTATAGGTATATATAATTTAATACAATAAGATATATCTATATAAAATACTGTAATCTGTATTAATGTATAAGACATATTTTTTGAAAAATCGCACTCCATGCAATTCATTATCGAATCAAGAATAAGCACAAAAAATGGATGCAGTATGTGCTGCGTCAGTTTTTTAAAATTCACTCCTCGTTGTTACCAGATAAAATATCGGTGTATTGATCCCAAACGCCGAAATTCCGGTAGACACCAAGAGAATCCTCACTGTTTTACTCTTCAAAGTGCTAAAATCGAAAAAGGGTGGCCTATCATCGGCCTTGTTTTTATCTTTTATTTTACGCTTTTGATTCTTTAAATGTAAAATTGCTCTTCGTTGAGGATGATATAGCGAAGCGCTACGGTAAAAAGTGCCAAGGATGAAAGTGAGAAAAACCACTCCTGTGACAGCCTGAAGGCCGAGTCGCCATCCGATTTTACTGTAATAAAAAAATCTTTGCATATAAAATTTTTTTTAGCAAATTGGTGGAATTTTTTTAGTAATATTCCAATTACAAATATTCTGTAAATTTTTATTAATTTTTTTAGTAATATTTCAATTATAAATATTCTATAAGTTTTTAAAAAGAATAATAATGATGCATAACTATATTTTATATACATTTTCTACTATTCTAATCATATATTCAAAGTCGAAGAATACTTAATAATTTCGTTTTTATTAATAATAATAAAGGATACTTTTAGAAATAATGTTTTATTAATACACGATAGAATTATATGAAGATTAATTAAAAAAATATAATGAGTTTTGCATTTTATTTCGTTCGCATATATTATTGAATTTATTAAAACAAGCCGTTGTTTTGTTATGATTTAACTTACGTGATCGCCCCTTTTATAAAAGCAGACATAACTGCTATACCCAAGCCGCTTCCTGACACGATGAAAATTTCGACCAATTCTCTTTTCCTCTTGAAATACTGCGCCACCATCAATGTGCTGCAGTCTCGTGTCATTCCAACTCCTATCCCTGCATGAATGAAAAAAAAAATCGATGGCTCAAATATTTGTGGCCATCCCTAGTTTTCTCATAGGGTCTGATAATAATTTTCGTCGATCATTCTGCATTTTTGAAATTGTTGCTTGTATTCAAATCATAAAATTTCAATGAAAAGAAGAGTTAGAATGGAAAAATTAGTAAAATTAACAATAATATTATTATTAATTAACATTATTATTATTAATTAACAATAATATTAGTAACGCCTACAGATGAAAAAAAATGACATATAATAATAATCATTTGGCAATACAAATGCGATATACATATATATATATATATTTTTTTTTTTTTTCGTAAATATTAGAAGATATATATTTTTATTTATATTTTATTTATTTTTATATATATATTTTTTTCATAAATATTAGAGGATATATATTTTTATTTATATTTTATTTATTTTTATATATATATTTTTCGTAAATATTCGAGGATATTGCATATATTATTATTAAAATTAAACATAATCAAAATTAACGATTCAGATGACATGAAGTAGATTTAAAAGAGAGAGATTTTACAGTTGATAGTTTCGGTTATCCAAGAATCTCATTATCTTTACATCCCTCTCGTATTATAGGAATCTGCAGCTGCAGTACCGCAGGCAGTTCTCCGGAGTCTCGTTACCATTACGATTTTTACTCACCGACCACGGTGCCGTAACTGAAGAACAATTGGTGAAACTGCGAGGCGAAAGAAGTGAAGAGGCAGCCGAGCGCGGTAACGAGGCCGCCCAAAACTGCCGTGACTCTTGTACTCTTCCTTCGGCAAAACGCTATCGTCACCGGCGATACCAGTAGAGCGACACCCGTCGACATTGCCCCCAGCCACCCTGTAACAGAAAACATCGTGTACAGGTATTGTGCAAATTTTACTTAACTGCTGTCTAGACGACGGCTTCTAGATAGAACTAAACGAACATGGTTGCGGAAAGAAAGAATAATAACTATAATTATTACTCACAATCTGTCTTCATGCCGCTTAATATTGCAAGATTTTTATTGTTACCAAGGTATAGATATACACGGTGGCCCCGAACGTTCCAGCCAGACTTTGAGATCTTATAGGAAATTTAATTCTGAACAAAAAATTTCTCATAAATATGGGTCGAAAAATGCTTCCTTAAGAAGTTATCGCTCAAAAACCTCTGATGAAGGAAGAGCAAAAGGTGAAAAGAAAATGAAATAAAAAGAAAATGAAACTAAATAAATTTCTTGAAAAAAACGATAAAAATAAAAAATAAAAATCTTTTTCTTTTATGAAAATAAAAGTTAGTTAAAAAAAATTATTTTATTTTCATAAAAGAAAAAGATTTTTATTTTTTTATTTTTATCGTTTTTTTCAAGAAATTTATTTAGTTTCATTTTCTTTTTATTTCATTTTCTTTCACCTTTTGCTCTTCCTTCATCAGAGGTTTTTGTGCGATAACTTCTTAAGGAAGCATTTTTCGACCCATGTTTATGGGAAATTTTTTGTTCAGAATTAAATTTCCTATAAGATCTCAAAGTCTGGCTGGAACGTTCGGGGCCACTCTGTATATTTACACATTTATATATCTACCCGTACGCAACTCGATGGAATTAATTTCACTGTGGAGAGATATGAACGGAAGTCTCTTCACGGAGCTGTTATTAACTTTTTACGCCAGCGGCGTATTTGCGGATCTATAGTCCCGAAGGAGAGATACGACTCTCTCGTAAATCGCCCATAATCTGCTCCGTAATATAAACGTCAAATCATGCATTTGAAAACTTCGATCTTTGTCACGCGTTATACATAACAATACTAGAACTATAGTATATAAGGTAAATGGCTATAACTTCGTCAGCGGATATAATTTCGTCAAGCCTTCTTAAAATTAAATAAATTAAGCAATCTCGCGTATATCGACGATATTTCCCGATTTGAAACGATGTTCAAATCGTTTCAAATCGGGAAATATAGTCGATATACGCGAGATTGTTTAATTTATTTAATTTTAAAAAGGCTTGACGAAATTATATCCACTGACGAAGTTATAGCCATTTACCTTATAGCATCCGTTTCTCATTTCGTCTGGCATATTGTCTTCGATTATGTATCTACCATTATATCAACTATCTATTTCACTTCACTCTTTTGCTTGTTTGTTTATTTAAAATCGATACAGATCATCCGTTTGTTTGACGAACGTCGAACGATGTCTGAGGAATGATGAAGTCGCTATTCGTGGCATCATATTTTCCTGGATTTTTGGAAATACGTCAACGGTAAAACGAATTCGCTTTTTGCGGATTATATATCATGACAATAGAATCCAACTTTTCTCCGATGCTTTCCGATCGAAGGATAAACCGCGCGATTGGCAATGTAACCACAGAGGGAAATGTTTGCTTATCCCATCGATTCGCTCGCTACTTTCGATATCGTTCACTGTCAATGTTTGAAAATAATGGAATGTATATCTTGGAGTACACATATAACATTTGATACAAATTTTGTTAATGTTAGATATTTAAATTTGTCAACCTTTTCTCTTCTTATAAATATTACTCTTCGTGGAATGACATTTTTCTTCTTTCTTTAATTTCATCTACTTCTCATATTATCTCCTTCGTCAGCATGAATTGAATGGGTCACAATTTCCGCCTAGTACATTTCCAACCCGGAAATGGATTAAATATCCAGGCGATTTTATATATACTTCCCTATAAGACTCGCGATATGTATCGTCTAACACAAGTAAGTTATAGCCATACCCTAGATGCGCGGCAAGTCGGAGCCAATAAGGTTTACACGCTGTCATCCATCGCTTCTTAAATGATTTATGATAGTCGCAGCATCCAAAGAATCTTCGGGAAGCACATCGACGCACTAAATGCGAATATCCTCTTTCATGCTTCTTCTTTTTTTCTGTTTTATTCTTACCATGATGTGTTTAGCGCCTCTCTCTCTCTCTCGATCAGCTATGAAATCTTATCGATAAATCACGTCTGAAGGATAAAGCTTCGGATATCTCTCTCTTGCATCTACTTAACTCCAAAATAACCGGAAGTTCACGTGCAAATAACGATAATTTACATCTCCTAATCCATTATATATAGGGTGTATCTTAAAAAGCTCCCATTAAGCAAATATCGTTATTTCTGATTAGAAACCGAGTCGAAAAGTTCTAAACCATTTTTTTTTCCTAAGATTCATTAAATAATTAATCAGATTTAAGTATTAAAAAGATTTATGAAAAGATGAATTGTTTAAAAATTAACACAAAACAGTTTATTTTTTTGCTTATCCAAATCTTTATATGTTGATAACGAGGAAATTTGTCTTTTTATTGGCGCGACTTTACTTAATTACTGCTTTATTAAGCATTATGGAAAAAAATGGTTCAGGACTTTTCGACTCGGTTTTTAATCAGGAATAACGCTATTTGCTTAGTGGGAGCTTCTTAAGGAGCTTCTAATCGATATACACCCTGTATATCGCATATAGGGATTTTTTTCATAAATTAAGAGAAATATATATTTTAAATTATCGATCAATCGAATATATTATATGTAATATGTACAAAAAAAAAATACATTTTCTATCGCAGGTCCGCGATCGCTAAGACGCCAATTAAGGGATTATAGTCAGCAAGTCGAAAAAAAACGTATTTTTGGGAAATTAAAAAAAAACTGTTAGGTATTTTTATTTCATCGATTCTTTATCATAATATATATCTATCAAAGAAGTTTTCATAATTTTTTCAATTAAAAATATCGAGAAATGTAGACACAGTAGTTATTTTTCAGAGACATCTTTTTTCGGAGGCGCTTGGCGGTGAGCAGGATTATTCGGAGCTGGATCATCTGCAATAAAAAATTCAAAAGAATTTAATTTTCGTATAAATTGATCTAGTTCGTGAACGAAAGATTTTACAAAAAATTGATTTTTGATAACGTGACAGACGTTTGACGCAAAAATACGAATTTTTTGTTAAAATTTTGTGTTAAAACTTTTCGTTCTTTTGTTAATAAAAAAAGGTTTTATCAAAATTAAAATCCCTTCGTTCACGAACTAGATCAATTCATACGAAAGCTAAATTCTTTTGAATTTTTTATTTCAGATGATCCAGCTCCGAGTAATCTTGCTCACCGCCAAGCGCCACCGAAGAAAGATGTCTCCGGAAAATAGCTACTATGCCTATATTTCTCGATATTTTTAACTGAAAAAATTATGAAAACTTCTTTGATAGATGTATATTATGATAAAGAATCGATGAAATAAAAATTCCTAACAGTTTTTTTTTAATTCCCCAAAAATACCTAAAAGTTTTTTTCGACTTGCTGACTAGATATAACCCCTTAAGACGACCGTAGATACCGAACGAGCACTCGATTGCGTTACTAAGACCGTTTTAATTGCGACATCGAGCTATTAAGGGGGCACGATTAGGTCGCCGTAGGCGGAGAATCGTTTAATTAATTTTCACCGGTCGCATCGATACGCGAGCTCATCGATCGCGAGTGCTCTTTATTGCGGCAGTAAGTAACGGGCCGCGGGTTAAGGAGACAAACGGGCGCCGCGTCGTGCGCGGGAAAAAGCAGTTATTAATCTCACTGTTGCTACAAGGGAGTGCGATGGATATGCGTTAAACGTCGACGACTTATCCGTGTGGAAGCGTCATTTAAGACCGGTGCCTTTCGCAAGATCTCCCTCGGTTTTTTTTCCTTCTGGATACCAACGGGATTCCTGGGAGCCTGCAATCGTCTCGGGATCCCCTCCTACACGCGAGAATAAATATATACGTCCGGATTCGTCTTGGGATACACGCAGGCTGTTTCTGTTATTATCGTTCAGGATGTTGACGAGGGAGAAAGAATGTGAAAGTTCAGGAAAAGATTTGTATGCAGGGAGTTATTTCTCAGAATACATTAAGTTGAAATGCTTCCCCGATAACATGATAAAGTTCATAAATCTGTAATATTTGTGAAACCCCAATATTAAATTGGTATGTGCGCGTGTGGCAATATTATTTTTATTCTACATTGATTTGCCGATTGTTGAACGAGTAACATTTTATTTTCACTAACAATTATCAAACGCAAGAATCTATTTTTTTATAAAGTTAATATATTCTTTTGTAAAACCATACAATTTTTCGTATTAAATATTCGTCTAGCAAGCAGATTTTAATGCATATTTTTTTCATTTTCAATTTGTATGATAATAACGAACTATGGTACACACTTTGTGTGAAATCTGCGAAAAATATATAGGAAATTAAACAATTTCCAGTTTGTGAAGTCCAAAAAAGACTTCAGAGTGTTTATTTATCATAAACACTCTGAGTTTTGTCACTTTTCGCGTTTTTCCTTGAGCTACTTTTCTCGGTCAGGTTCAGAGTTCTTTCGAGAATCGTGTGAGTATCTTCCTCCCACTCGCGAGATAGTCTCCGTCGATGGAATGGGTGAAAACGATAGCGAGAGTGAATTGGCAAGAGCGAGAGCTACCATCAGGGTCAATGACTCGCAGACTAGTCGGGTTTTACATAGCAAGCATCCTCGCGAAGGACGAGGAAGCTCGATTCGCGAGAATCTCCTCGCTGAGTTCTTTAAGGAGCGAGAGAAACGGCTTAAAGCAGCATTGGCAAGTGCGCATTCCTTGTATTTGTCTTTCGATTTTTTTATGCAGTTGTACAGATACAAAGAAAAATGCTCTGTTTTACAAAGTTTCGAATTATTACATAATTTTAACAGAAATGTATTTCTATAAAAATTATGTAATGATGTTTAATGTTATATATAATTTAAGGTCAAATAATTAATTGGGTAGACTTTGTATGCACGAATTAGCAGCGTCGCATTAAAA